TAATTTATCTCAAAACCCAGCATTTTAATTTCTCAGAAACGATCATTGCGGGAAAATTGTGTGCTGGGACTAAGATTTTTTAAGGATCGATGCGATAAAACGATAGTTCGAGGAACGATAGAAGCGGGAAAATGTAACATTATTTTATATGGGATGTATTCGGGACCGAACAAAACGGACGATGCATCAGGGAAAACGATAGTTCCGGGAACGATGGATAGAGGTTTCACTGTAAATGCATTTTAATGAACATGTCATAAGTTATTTGAAGTGATTGCATGTGTATGTAGTTTAGTAGCTAATGTTTTATTACCCAGGATATCATGTTGTGAAGAGTCTTTAGGACACAGTTTGGAAATAAGTGTAGAAATCTGTAGAACAGGGATTGTCAACCCATCTTGATGACTGGCAGCAAGAAGAAGCTTATAATTTATAGAGGGCAATGTATAAATATTGGTGGTGGGGCTTGAGTACCTCAGTGATCCCAAGAGCTATGCTGGCAGTATCATGGCTACTGGTAGGGCCTCCCTAGCCAGATTGGTCGAGGGGGAGAGGTCAGACTAAGACAGGTACCCTGGTCCTCCAGGTTGGGGGTTGGTTGCAAGGCTAACAACCTTGCACCGTAAAAAGGAAGATGTTTTGAAACCTCAACCTGGGACAGATGGACCTAACAGAGGACCGAATGGAAGAGGAGAATTGAGGAGGCCATGGACCGAATACGGACCAGAGAGCCATAGAAGAAGAAGAAGAAGAAGAAGAAGAAGAAGAAGAAGAAGAAGAAGAAGAAGAAGAAGAAGAAGAAGAAGAAGAAGAAGAAGAAGAAGAAGAAGAAGAAGAAGAAGAAGAAGAAGAAGAAGAAGAAGAAGAAGAAGAAGAAGAAGAAGAAGAAGAAGAAGAAGAAGAAGAAGAAGAAGAAGAAGAAGAAGAAGAAGAAGAAGAAGAAGAAGAAGAAGAAGAAGAAGAAGAAGAAGAAGAAGAAGAAGGAGGAGGAGAAGGAGAAGAATAATAATGTATAAATATATTTTAAAAAAAATTCAAATTGAGAAAGTAGAATACAGATTGCAGATGTGGGAAACTACCATGTGACTGAAAATTTTTCTTTGTTTGCAGTCATAATATAATGTAGTGAGTGAATGTGATGATTATGTTTTTCAGTTTCATCCAAACAACTGAATTGTGTTGTAATGATTTTTAGAACACTTTCCTTGCTTTATAGGGCTTATGGTATCATATCTATGTCTCTTCTTCTCAAATCATCTTTGAAGAATTGAATTAAAATATAAATATCATCTTGGTCTTGTAATTTCAATTTACTATTGTCAGTGACACCAACATGGCAGCCATTTGATAAACTGAGGTGGAACTGTCACTAGTGCCGCTTATTGTAGATTCTGAAATTTCATGTGGCATTAGAGATTAAAAAATATTAAACTTCTTTAAATGCTGCTTTTTGTAGAATGTGAAAAACTAATATGGCAGTGGTTTTAAATAAAAAAATATCTTTTGGTATATTGATGCAGCGAATGAAGAACTTAAGCTAGGCATGTGAAATTTTGTATGATAGATATTTCATGAAATTGAATGAATCGTAAATTGTGTGTAAAACATAATTTATATGTTTACAATTATAAACATAGCGCCTGTATCAGATTTTGAAGTTGCATCTGATAAATGTTTTATTAAAAATCTGTTCTAGTTTAAATTACGCACAGACACAGATCATGTAATGGAATTGTTATAGATAGGATCCCCACACATGTTGAAGAATTTAAAGGAAAGAATGCTTTGTAAATTCTTCCCAGAACTTCTCATTTATGCTTGCCATGGCAGAGAATTGTGAGGGATGTCCTTGAAATAAATCTGCAAGCAAACCTGGAGCAGTATGGATACATAACAGGAGCATTAAAAGATGGAAGTGCAAAATTCTAATCTCTATGCTGTTTGTTGAAAATTGTGTTATGAAGTACTGCAGAAGTTGAGTATAAAATGAAGATGAAACCAGAAAAACTTACAGACGCATGCTGGAGTGTCAGCAGACCACTTGCCCTCCCGAGTACACATCTGCTTCTCGGTGCCATCCAACCAGTAGTCCTCCTGACAGGAGTACTCAATCAAGCTACCATATGTTGTGGTTCTGTTCAGGAGTTCATAGCGACCATTGTCAATGTTGGGAGGAGCCCCACAGTCTATGTATTTACATGTTGGTGCCTTGCCTGACCACTCTCCTCCTAGTCCACATGACAGCACCTACAAAACATATTAGAGTGCCTATTGAAATGAAATATGAGATGGTTTGGTGAGATTTGAGGTTCTCATGGCAACATGTATCAAGATGGCTATCTTCTGGTTTTTTGTACTGTGTAATCTAGTAGATGTTGGCTGACATTTTAGAGAAGTTTATGCCTCCATCATTGATGATGGGAACCTTATGGGCCCCTCCATGTTTGTCTGTCTCTTGCATATTTACAACAAAATTACCTTTGTTTGAACTCATTGTTCGGATCTAAGGATTCCAACTGTTGTGCAACAATGACCTAGGATCACAGTGCAAGGACGATCTAAGACACAAATGTAACCTCAGGTCATATCAGTGCAACAATGACTTATGTGGTGTGAAGACAACCTTTGGTATTTCACTGTACTCCAAAGATTACACCTTTCCAATCTTGTTTTCCTCTGTGCTAAGAATGACAGAACTTTACATTGACTAGGAGGTTTTGACCATTACATAATCCTATTTAATAAGTCACCAAGTCACTTGGTTGCAATAATAAAATCTCTCACCGGCTGTCCAGACATTATATAGCCATTTTGACAGGAATAGGTGGCAGTAGATCCTGCACGGTGTCCAGAAGTTTGTACACTACCGCCTTGCACCATTGGTGGTTCAGGACACCAATCAACTGAAATGCACATTCATTCTGATTTTGTATTGTTTTATGTGAAGTGCCAGTACATAAAATAATGTCCATTCAACAGTTCCATAACACACAGTGAGACAAACAGGCGAAGACAAGGGAAACATTGTTGTAGCAAACAATATTCAGGTGAAGAGGTTATGGATGATCATAGTAAAATTGTTAGTATTGCTGGTACTGCTATCCAAAAATTTGATGTGATAACATACTCTGAATTCACTCACTTTATTATGTGTTATAATAAATATAAATATATATGTTTCAGAACTGGAATTGTAAATACTAATTAAAATGTACCTATCAAACTGACTCTATGCCCAAATTGGACAGTATTATCTGTGTACCAATTTACATGTAGGGGCAAATATACCTTTCATTACATTTCAATTAATATCACAGAAATCAGAAGATTATTTAGGCAAAAGTGTAAATTATATTTCATTCAAGTACTAGCAGAATGTCTGCAGTGTTACTATGGGAAATTTCAACAATTCTACCTTCTTCACTGGGACTGAGCCCAGGACAGATATCCTGGGTTCTGATCATTGTTCCTGTAATCTCTTTGCCAAATGTGCAGCCTTCGTCTTGGTGCTGTTTTTTTATCATGCTTGAAACCATAACACTGGAGAGTATTTTGGAGTTGTGACCTTTGTTTCTGTAATCTCCTCATTGAAACAAATGACTCTGGTCTTGGCACCGTTCTTCCATTGTCCGTATCTTCCAGGCTACATGAATTGCCCTCACCGGGACTTGAACATTTTTAGCATTTTGATCTTTCTTAAATCTCTTCCTGGTTTTAGGCATAAGCATGCCAAGTCTGGCCTAAATTTTTATATTCATTCTTAAGCTATAAGGAACATACTTACCCACAATTTGGATTTGATATAAGACGCACATTTTTTTACACAGTACATTGTTTCTGTGGTAACAATCATAAGTTAAGTGGACTTTGTGGATATTACGTGTTATTAATTTGTAATATATTTTGCACTTTGCCAGTACTGTTGAATAATCTATCTGAGCTTTGTTAATGCATAAATTATTGGTTCCAGTTAAATATTGCAATGCTGTAAGTAATAATATTGCTTACAGAGGCACTGCGGCTGGTTGTCACTCCACTGCCCATCATCTTGGCATGTCCGTCTCTCCCTCCCGATGAGGGTGTAGTTCTCGTGGCATGTGAACTCTGCTGAAGCACCGTGTGTGGTTCTCTTGTCCTTCAGGTTTACATATCCATGTTCCAGACCAGGTAGGGGCCCACAGTCAACATCTGAAAATATATTGCTAATCAGTTTTAGTGTAGCGTGTGAAAATACAAATCGGTAACTTGATGCGAAGGATCTATCTGATCGACGCTGGTACTGTCTACTGGATCTTGACTCTTTTAGTGCCAATGCAGTAAAAGTCAGTGACAGTAAAAACTGACCTTCTTGTGCTAGTTCTGTCATACTGACGACGGCACAGTAATTAATTTCCTTACATTTGCAAGTGGGCGCGTGACCAGACCAGAAGCCTTTCTCTGTACAGGTGCGGTTTTCCCCACCGACCAACATGTGACCCTCGGGGCACCGGTAGCTGATTGTGGCGCCAACACTGAAGTTGGAACCCGAGATGGTGGTGTTGACTAGCTTGTCGGGACTGCCGCATGAAGTTGGGGCTGCGAACACAAACAGGTCAGTTTTAGGCTATGTAGGGGTTCTTCGACTGCTTGTAATGCCGAATGCATGGAACTATACCTCCACTCCCCCCATATGTACACGTGGCATGGTTAGCTAAGTGCCAGATACAACTTTATCATAGAAGATCTTCGATTACTCAACATTGTTTACACTGCAAAGGGTCGAATGATTTGTGAACGATGAATTTAAAAATAACTGTTCCTGGCCTACTTCGCGCACCTGCCATGTTATTATTACTGATTGTAGGAAATTAAAAATTGTCAGTACGTGGTTCATGATTACTGTTCATGCCATATTTCATGAAAATCTATCAACTGGCTTAAAAGAGGGACACACATAGACATGCAGACAGCATGGTGATATAAGAATTTATTTCCTTAAGAAAGGAAATCAGGCTAAAATACAGTTTCTTGGAAAGTTGCAACTGAGGATTTACTGATGATTTGAAAACCGTGGGGTATGTGGCAGAACTGCTGATATGAATGTTCTTTATGCCGTGGTGATAAGGATGGCTCAGAACAAGGTACACAGGTACGTGAATGTGATCAGCGGTAATCCTATTAAACAATGTCTTAATCCGCTTTTGAAAACCTGGAGGTAGACACATTTTCATTCGCCTGTTCGTGAAGATTGTTCTGTAATTCGGGGCGTGGCTTGGAAAATGGTTATTGAAAAGAGGGCGAGACGCATTTTGAAAGGAGAGTGATTATAGGCAGTACGTGGAAGAGCCTTGAAATGATGTGGAACTTGGACGAAAAGAAATGCGTGTAATGGCGCGAAAAGTACAAAACTTGTGGTAACAAAATTATCCCAAGGATGAGGTGGTCACAGTAGTATAGGCCTGCTTGCTTGAAAGTCGTGACTGATGAAGAGACAGTTCGAATGTCTTCAGAAGATGGCTGTCTTCTGGTTGTAGCGCCATGTAGTCTGGTAGAAGTTTACCGGAATTTCAGAGTTCCTGTGAAACGACTTCTGAAACGCTACTAAACTTCTACTAGAATACATAGCGCTACAACCTAGATGGCAGCCATCTTCGTACTCACCGATGTGAGAACCTAAAATCCTAACAATACGATAAATCGCATTCCGGTATTGTTTTGTCTTTCTTTCTTGAAGTCCTTGGGCTACTCATCAATCTAGTAGAACAACGCAAACCACTTACTGTGCTGACATATCCAATGGAGATAATCCAGGTTACAACCCACGTCATTCCATTGCCAGTTGCGTCCTCCATCCAGTACTACGCAGTTCTGCTCACCGTTGTAATTATTCGGCTGGTCCTTTCCCCACGCCGGCTTCGCCACCATCTCTCCTACGCCACAAGAAATAGTACCAAGCATCAAAGAAAGAACTCTCCTTTCCACAGAATTAATTTGCCACTTCTCTATGTGAGAAATGTTTCCGTCTCTGGAGTTATTTTGTTTGGTACAGACATCAGTTGTAGCTGAGACTGTCGAAGTCATGGTCTAACAACTGAATGGGGTCATTAAGGCATGCAGACATCCAGGGCTTGATTATAAGTTGTTTCTGTTGGACTACCACTGATTTAATTTGCCATGATCATATTTTATCATATTCTAAGTCCCAATGGTTCGGGTTCTGCTTTATCGAAATGCATAGTAATAATTGGGTTAAATTCGGCGTTCATTTACATGCTACCCAGAAACTAACGGAATTTATTGTTGGAAGCTGTTAATTTTGTCGATAGCAGTTACCTTTAGTCCAAACTTGATAATGTAGATTGAATTTACATTAGCCCATAAATGCATTTTATTGTACACTTCGACAAAGAAATATTTCAGACTAAAGTTGTGGAATTTAATAGATCGATGGCTTTATGTTAAATACATTTTGTCCTACAACAAAATGTTAAAACACACACACAGCTTCAGAATTCTGTTGTTGCATGTGCAAGTCTAAAACAATGTGATGTGGTTAATAGTTTATATAGACTAGAATTATATCGAAAAACTGCCTTCATTAAACAGTTCGAAAATTTAGCTTCGTAACAAACTATATTGTTCCCACATATGAAGGAATCTGGAACATGACAATTTGTTCCGTATAAATGCTTTGCTGAGATTTTAATTGTTCACCATGATTGTTTATGAGGCCATGTTACTTGGTAATGGGAAATTGGTGCATGCATCAGGGCATTGAAGGTCACACCTCCGACTGTAGTAAAAGATGGCGGCCGTGAGAAAGTGTGAGGTGGGAGCGACACTAGCGCCATTTTAGCATGAGGGACCTGAAAATTTTGTCTATTAGAATAGTAAAGGTTTCTAAAATGCAAAACTAGCCTGATTTCACGGCCAGAAAGGTGATACCTAATGGACCACTGTATCTAGGTAGGTCCCCGTGGAACTTTCTATGAAGCAATGTTATCCCTCCGCTCCGTTAAGACAACCGTGAAGTGAAGGTAAAGCTTCAGTTTTGAAAAAGATGGAGGTGAGACTAAGGTGACTTTATCCCTTGGGAAGACGCCTCCGGTAGCCATTGAAGTCTGAGTAGGCCCCAGGGTCTATCTGGGAGCTGTGACAAAGATTGAAAACCCTACGCCTGCCTGACTAATAATATTTAAACGAAAGGACATGCTAACCGTTTGAAGCCGAAGCTAATCTGAAAGGAAATAACACTCAACACTTCTCTGTTGCAAAGATCAATTTGTTAATGCTGTTACAGTGAGAATCATTTGAAGCACATACAGTTGCTTATTGTTGAGGTAGATGGTACATGTAGTTACCACTGGACATAAAATACGTAACATAACTGGAAGCGTGTGTTGTGAAATGAGCAAGCAGACGCAGGAAATGGAAGCACTACATAAACAAGGAACCCTACCGTCAACCCATCTCCACGTCCTGGATGTAAACCCCGGTTCGCGTTGCGCTCCGATCCACACCAGCTGAGTTTTGAGGCTTGGTTTACGACGCTCGAGTTCAGCCAGCAAGAAGCTGGATGTTGCTCCTTTCAGTCCATGCACCAAATCGCCTCCATGCTTCTTGCAATGGCTTCTCGCCTCTTCGAATGAACCTCCGCGGCCCACGCTGAATTCGTAACAGGTGCGGTCGAACGCTGACAGTTCAACGTCATCTGCCGCACCAGACGGCACGCAGCGGTCGTTCGAGAACTCTGAAACACGAGAACGATGTCGCTCGTTGCTAGGGTAAGACTGGGGCGTCAGTTAATCTGACTGAAAATCAGAACAGTTCATGTCTGTGAGATTTCGGGTTGTCTTCTGGGTTGGTTCGCCGTGTATTCCGGTAGTAGTTTACCGACGTTTCTTTGGTACTTGCTGCCTTCATCATCGCCCTGATTAAGGAGGCTGCAAGCACATTTAAAACGTTGTTAAACTTGGATCGTACTATGTGGCACAAGAACCCAGAATACAGCCATCACCAGCATGAAATCGTTTCGTAAACATTCGACACGACATGACAAGCTGTAATATTCCGGTATTTATATAAGTCGCATTAAATAATAATTTGTGTTTCTATCAGGAAAAGAAAGTTGATGGACAAAAAGGATGGACGGTAGGTTACAAAAGAATGACATCGTCATTCTTTCGGATGCCTTACGTCAGCATTTTTACACGTTCTTTCACATATTTCTGTTGATTATAAACTGAAGTTTCTAAGTATTGAAGCATGTGAAATATACGAACAGGGCTAATTGTATTCCAACGCTAGATCCATTACAGTAAACAAATTAATCTTACAGTTATTTGACTCCGTTTTTGTACGACGTTGTTAAGAATAATTTAAGTACAAATGGAAATATGCAACTTTATTATGAAAAACAGATAAATATATTTTTATTGTATGTTTTACGACGATGTCTGTAGCTCAGACTACAAGTGTCAAATGATAGGATGAGTAATGATTTGAAAAAATATTAAAGGAACTGATCATGGTCCAATTTAAGATTCTGTCCAGGTATTTTCCTGGAAGGGATGGGGAAAACTATTCAAACGCCAGTCAAGCAGCTGGTCTTCGGACCGAGATATAAACGCACGGCCTCCAAAATGCGAAGCGGCAATGTCGTTCGGTCAGACGGACGAAATCACACGAAATATTTAACTCGTATGTTGATAGGTTGATGGGATTTTGAAACATTAAATATATTTTAATACAAACTAAATAAATGCGAACAGGTTTCCACGGCGGTGAGTCTGAACATGGCTGTCTTCGAGATTGTTGCACCGTGTAGTCTGAATCGTGGGTAAATTTCTACAAGACTATACGGCGCAACGACTCAGCAAATAGCAATCTTCTGAACGCTGGGTGTTTACAATTCATATACACCTCACCTAATATATTCATGCTGGTAGAGTTCTGATATGAAGACCTTACCGTCAGTTGTAAACACTTCCACTTCGCAAACTGAGAGAGACCCTTCAACTCCCACCAGCTGTACGAACACGTGTTGGCCAGTCAGCATGCGGGCACATGTGAACGTCTTGGTAACGCCTTCCTCTGGAACGAGAGCAAACACCTTGCCATAACTAGATGGCTTACGGAACCCGAAGATTCATCACCGAATTAACCAAAGCCCTCCACCGGTCCCTGTCCTGGGCCAACAAAATCAAGTCTCCTTCAACTCCTATCTCCCATAGATCCCACCCCGAGATTATCCTCCCATCTACGTCTAGGTCTCCCCAGCGGTCTCTCCCCCTCAGGCTTCCCAACCAATGCCCGGTGCACACCTCTTGTCACATCCATGCGTGCTACATGCCCAGCCCATCTCATTCTTCTTGACTTAATCACCCTGCCAATATTGGGGGAGGAGTATAAATTTTTACGCTCATCATTATGCAGTTTTCTCCATGCCCCATCGTCTTCCCTCCTAGGCCCAAATATCCTCCTCAACACCCTATTCTCAAACACCTGCAATCTATGTTCCTCCCTCAGAGTTGATACTGCAAGTCCACAAGGTGTCATAACCCAGAAGTCCAACATCGACAGGTGGAAAGACAATATATAAATGCTTTGAATGTTTCCTGCAGGACTGGGTGAGTTTATCCAACACATACTTCTGAATGCATTAAAACATGTAAATAATTACGAATTGTAACCTATGTCTAAAGATAATTTGAGTAGAAGAATAAAAATTTACGAACTATATTGAACAAATTTTTTTTGAAGGCGATAGTCTCAGTGCTGGTCAAGAAATTCCCTGCCTTTTATTGAACACGAAAGTTAATTGCCTCATTGATAAAAGATCACCACCGGGCTCTGTCTTGGGTCAATTAAACATAGGCAGCACTCTCACGTCTGTTTTGTTTAAGATATGCTGTAATAGTATCTTCACAACTACGCCTGGGTCTCCCAATTCGACTCCAGCTAAAACTATTTGCGTCTCTCATCTATCCTCTGCGTGGTGGCTGCTCAGCCCATCTCGATCTACTTAATTTAGTCATTGTATTAGCTTAATATCTGGCTTAAATTATAAATTATGACGCTAATCTTTATGTATTACTTACCGTCTTTTTTACTTTCTAGTTTAGATCCAAATAACAGTTCCGATCTTGGAGATCTAAATGCTTTCGTTAATATTTCATGAGGCAAACGCCGTAGCCTTGTAAGATAATAGCTTGGGAATAAGCAGGTCTCAGAGATTACAGGCCTGCGTGTCTGTGCTGTGTAATGCCTCAAATATGTATTACCAGTTGGCGTGTATGTAATTACCGTCTTACCTATCGTTCCGGGGAACCAAGCACACAGTGGGTTCCTCTGAAGGTCGGTACTGCTGTTTCCCACCCGGATCTCAATGTCCTTCAGTGGCTGGTGACCTGTTCAAAAAGAAGCAAAGCATTAGAGAAGCGGCCTATAATGATCGATTTAAAACACATTGGGGATGAGAAAAATCTGAAGGAAAGAGTTCACTTGGGAGACCTCGATATAGATAGCACGACGTTAAAATTAATCTTACACAAGTAGGACACGGGGTGTGGACCGGATTTAAATGGATCGGGTTAGGTTTCAGAGTCTAGCTTTTGATAAAAGGGTAATGAACTTTAGGGATTCAAAAAGAGGCGGGAAATTCATACTCCAGCTCAGCGGCTATACATTTCTCAAGAAAGAATCTTCTTCCATGGAGTTAGTAAATGTCCGTTTTGAGACAATGATAATCCAAGCCGATAACCTCTTAACTGGTCAATAGATTTCTTGCCTTTATAGGACCTAAAGATTAATTACCGCGATCATAAGAGCCACCCACTGAGCCCAATGCATATTCTGCATCGGTTGGAGCTTCAACGCTCAATTTTAGTATTATCATACCATCTACGCCTAGGTCTCAAGGTGGGTTTTTTCCTTGTAATTTTCAGATTAAATTTATGTATTCGTGTACCCCTACACCATCACATTGGATATTAAATAATAAATGTAGTTTTCGGCTACGAAAATTGAAGTGATGTGTCGTAACTTCTCTTCGGCTAGTTGAACCTAGTCTCGGGCTTCACACCCTATTTCACTAGATACATTTTGGTGGACATTATATCCTCCCGATTACATCTTCATACTTCACAGTGAGGTTTTCCGAATAAAGTGCCGTGTGTTCCCTTTCTCACAAACATGATACTTGTCTATCTCGTCCCATTCTCTTTGTTTTAATGAATGTCAGGTTAAGGTTATTAATGTTCTATAATAAGAACGTGAGTTAACGTCAGCAGAATTGCTGTCTAAGATAAGCAAACTTCTGGGGTGTCACATCCTTACTTTTGCTAGGGCTTCTTCATGCAATAAACACATACCACAGCAGCCACGCGTGGTGATTCGAACCACGCCGACGGGGTAGGGTCGGAGCAGGTCAACCATCCACCAGGGAGACGCTTCCTTCATCGTCTCCGTGCATCGTTTGCCGTCATGCACTGTCGTGCTCTCCCCGTCGTTGCCATTGCTAGCCGCTCCGCCACGCACCGTCGTCGACTGGTTCGCTGGCTTCCGGAAAGCTATGTTTGTTCCTGCAAGCAAATACATGGCGTTTACTGTTCGTCGAAAGTCGAGGTCGAGTGGGAAGCAGTCCTGCTTCATAATAGAGCCTGGGGTTCGAATCTCGGCCCGAAGACCCGCTGCCCTGACAGACTTTCCGCGGTTTTTCATTTCCTTCAGACCAGTGATGTTGTCTTAAGACAGATCGTGACCTCTTCCTTCCACATTATTTACATTGTAACAGGCATCCAGTGTTATTCCTGTGTTATTCCTTATAAGCTGTTATCCATTTATTTCCCGGATAGAACCACGAATGATAATTTTATATGACTTAGGCCTCTTATAAATAATGGGTCTCTACAGCTGTGCCTCTCGTATTCTTTACGAAACGATTCCATGTTGCCCCAAGATATGTCGTCTTCTAGCCGCGCAGCTGAACAAGCGTTGTCCTTTGGGATGTGTTTGGAGAAACTTAAAAACCTGGTTCTGTTACGCTGCGCAGAAAACCCTAAGAGATATATGTTTTCTGGGGCCATAAATCGAGGGTTCAGGATATTGTAGTAAGCTGATTTTTCACACATACACGCAATTTATTGAACTGTCATCATTTTGCTGATCACAGTAATCGTACGGTTTGAGAAGTGTTGAATACTAAGGTCGGGGTTTCGAATTCCGCTCACAGTGAGTGTATGCATGCACGTATGTCCGTAGCATGCATCTATGTGCGTGCACGTGCGTATGTTTGTGTGTATTTATATATGTGTGTGTGCGTGTGTATGTGTCCGCGGTTTTCTTTGTTATATTGGCTAGTTATAGTCTTGCGATGGGCCTGTCCACTACCAAATATCTAATAATTCACAAGTTTAAAATTTTTTGAATCCGAACACGCCAGATGCCTAATATGTGAAAGTTTAAGATTTAAAAGAGTTGTTAATTTCACGAATCAGACAGCGGTTTAGATCAGAACCAGTTTTCAGTTTGCTGAAATGGAAATTGAAACCAATCGTTACAGTAAGCATGTCGGCCTTATTAAAATACAACTTGAGGTTAGAGACATAAGTTTCAAAACTGAGAGCAGGAATAACTAATTACATAACTCAAGCATATTTATGTGACTGTGTTTCCGTTTATAAATTAGGGTATGAATACAATTTTGGAAGATCTAAATAAATCACTACTAAAATAAGGTCCTCAAATACGTATAAAATACGTCGTTTCTGAAGCAAAAACTATATACAGTCATACTCGGTTAGAACGAGATCCAAGGGACCGAGGAAAATTGCTCGTTATAACCGTTACTCGTTATATCCGTTATTGTAGCGAAATGTTACTTTTGCTGTTACTCAATACTTTTATCACACAAACGCAAGAACACAGATATATACTTATAGAAAAGGAATGATAACAACAATGAATAAACATAGCTTATAATTACACGGTGCAGCGATGTAACGGAATCATTCTGCCTTCCCCCGCCATGGGTAACCATTTAGATAACTATACATTTGCCTTGATACCTGAGAGTCCCCGTAGGTCCACGGCACCCCGGCCACGCAGGGTCTGCGAGGATTTCCGCTAAACCACTGGAACGAGGTCTATGGTCTTTTTGAGTAGCGTACCGCACTAAATGAGATTCTGAGAACGGAAATCGAACCAAATACACTATGAATTTTGACTGTAAATATCGTTAAAAGGGTTAGAAATTGCTATGTGGAAAGAGATAAGTGGAAGAGTGTCTTAAACGGGTAAAACAATAATAGATCTTAGTCCCTCGTTAGTTTAGCCAATGCTTGTTATAATGGCTGAAAGATTTGCTCGTTATACACGTGAAGGTGTCAAGTACCGTGATCGCTTTAACCGTGAAATGTCGCTCATAAAATACATAATTTCCAACCAACTCTTCTCTGTTTACTCGCAATAGCCGAGATGTCGTTATAACCGTGCTCGTTATAAATTAGTTAGACTGTGATTAATAAACCGATTGGGAATTTTTTTATAAAACGCGTTATTTTCTCGTTGTATAAATTAACTGTAGATCATCGCCCTGAGATGGAGGCAGTAAGGACCACTGAAACGTCCCCAGACTACGCGGCGCAACAACCTGGAAGACGAAGATGGCTGTCTTCTGGATTGTATCGCCATTTAATCTGGTACAAATTTACCAACGTTTCAGAGGTCCTTACTGCCTCCATCATCAGGGCGGTGAGTTACGGTTTGCTTCATACTCATTGTAGTGATAACCTCAAATCATACCAGTGACAGAACGTGATTTTAGTGTGTAACATTTTGCCACATGAATCCCACCGTTGAAGAGGTGACGATGTTTCATTTTGCATTTTCCTGAAGCGAGTGAAGACATCAGCATGTTTTACATTAACGCAGAGAGAGCGAGAGAGGGCATTTAAGCTGCAGTTAGGCGCCGTTAACATCCGTTAACGTGATGACAGTCGGCACATATCTTGTGATGTTACCACCCACAAGCTATTATAGTCTCTGCAAACTAATGCGCATTTAATTAACGTCAAAGCCCTCTAAGCGGAACAGTGAGCGAAAGTTTATCGTGTCTGAGCACAACTGTTTAAAGTTCCTCATTAAAACAGCACCGAGATCTAGTTAAAGTGCAATGTGGTTGTGAAGATTTTTGAAATATCATCCAAAATATTACTAAAGCTACTTCGGGTTTCACAGAACAAGTTCTTGTCCCGTTTTCGGAAAATGCTATACTGAATCACATTTTATTATACTGGGTATATTTTTATATACAGTGTATCTTTGTTATGTATTAACATTCTGCAGACGGAATCTGTCTATATAAGCAAGTGTTTGCAATTTGGTTGGTTAGTGTTGGTGCATTTGATGTTAACGGATTTTATACCTTTTGGAATAATATTTATTACGTTTACTACGTAAGATTTTGCAGTTAGTTTTGACGGAAAATTTAATAGTAAATAAATATTAGACCCATAGCAGATGAACCTACCAGTGATGCCCTATTACGCTGGATTTTGTGCAAACGTTTCTTATAGCTTCTTGTACGAAGTGTATAAAATAAAAGCATAATAAAGAGGTAGTGGCCTACTATGATCTATAATTTAGATGCAAACATTTACCGGTACGTTGCATACGCACTGAAGTACAAGTAGCAGTACTTTTACTTCCACTGTGTGTGTTCATACTGTCTGTACCTTTAATTGCCTTTGTTATCAAAAGGATATACGAGCATGATTATCTGCACTCATAATTTAATTATATGCATCTGGAATATACATCAGTGGAGGATATAACATTGCAGATAACGCCATTGGAAAGTATGTACGTATACCTTGGGGAGTATATGTTTTAGTAATGCTAGATTTATATAAATAATACAGGCACATGAAAGGATTAGTTTATAATTCATAGGGACTGTGCCGAAACATCCGTTAAAGGCTTTATAGTTGGAAGCTTCTGGTATTCAACAGCAGTGACCTTATAGGCTAATTCAGTTACGCATTTCGTAGACAAAGAGGAGTCTATCGCCAATTTTGGTGAAAGAATACTATTGCGAATGAGTCTTGCCCCATTGCCCTAAAACCAATCTATCTCTGCCCAGTTTACTTAAATAATGAACTGCTTTTCGGGTATGTTCTTTTACTTTCGATGGGTGTGTCACAGTCATTCGGTTGAATGATTCCTGGATCTCGTACGTCAGTAATCAAGTGATATCGAGTACTCAGGACTGCTCTGTTATTTAGTGTTGGCCAATTTCGTTATCAGAAGATACGTTTCTCGTCACTTCACTACAGAATGTGTACAAGCAATTTAGTTGCCTAATTTAAATATTACGAGTCGTAAACTGCAAAACACAAAAGCTTTTAAAATTATATGAACAATATTTTATAAAGATTGTTTTAGTAACTTGTAACTGCGTAATTTGTCTCAAGCAGACCCTGATCCGACCAGTAGCAAGTAAGGTTGTAGAAGTCCTTGATCCTTTTTCTCGGTGATGACAGTGTGTAAATATAGACTGTGTTGCTGACGTTTCGGAGATCTTGTCGCCATCTTAAATACGGAATGATAATTTAGGAACTGGTGGAAACTTTGGTTTCAACATATTTATAATGTTTGTTAATAACAAGTAAATGTAATTCTGTGAAAATTCCAAAATGAAGTATGCCATACAAGCTTTAAGTTTTGATATAAATGTTTCATATGTTACTGTATTTACGAGCTTTAAATCATTAAAACATTGCAGTCGTTTGTTAATATAATCGAACATTTTAGTATCGTAAGATCATAATTTTCGATGAATAACGCACGTGAATACAATAGATATTGGTAATACTATTCACGCACACAATAGGCTGAATGTGGGAAGTATCTTCTGCATTTCCTAATTTTATTATATTCGTAGTTCTGAAATTGGATTTTTTCGAGTCTTACTAAACTTTCTCACGACTGACGAACAGGAAGTGCGGATGAAAGATTACGTTATTGTACTGAGAAAAGTCGAAGAATCCGTGAAATATATGTTGTAATAGCGTTGCTCTAAAGATCTTACGAAGGTATTTTCAAGTTAAAAATAATTCCGAAGTTTGAACGCACAATATAAAGTGTGTTATATAGGCCTATATATTTTTATTTGCAAGCGAATTGAAACTTCAATAGTTTATCTATTTAAAATGCATTCTATGGATAAGCATTTTAGTAGTATGATTATTGTTTTACTAACTTTTGTGGTGCTATGCATAGATGCACCTGAATCCGTTAAAATGACCTTCTCAGGTTCTAAAGAAAGACATTAGTTGTCTTCTACGCGTTTAAATGTCGTTCTGCACGAATGCGTAATCATCTGCCACAACAATTAACTGAGATTGTATCGTTTAAAACGAAATCGAAAAACAATCACGTAATGCGCACACAAATTAAATAAGAAGCTGGTCCACCTCCCCCGTGACATTCGAGTCACAAAATTTCGGTACACAGGAAGTGTTAGTCTGTGACAAGCTCTCATCCAGTGACAGAACAGCTGGAATTACAGTTGTAGCGATTTCAGACACAGCTGCAAGAATTCAATATTATCGTAGGTTTGGTCTTATTATGCTAGTTAGGCTTGCGTTTTAAATGGAACACACTGTACATGCTGGGGAAATAGTACTGAGTTGTTCAACATCTCTCTATTCATTCTGGGACCAATCACTTCTTGGTGGACCTACTTCATCCTGATTATTTGAGTCTTAAATGGCTTACGTTCAACAACTGGGGAATTTCGCCCAATGAATTCCAAAATTGTTTTTGTTTGATTCTCAATAAACTGCGAATATATTCATAATTGTTAACCGAATTATCCTTAACGAAATTTTTTTAACATAATTTAGAAATGCTTTGCAAATTAAAAACCCCTTCCTAAGGATACCAACAACTTACTTTCGTTCCAATTATGCACGTCAGCATAAATTAATCATAAAATTGAAATTATGCTGTTTCAATGTTAAGCTACTGCACCTATTTCTTGCAATCTTAATCACTGTCTTCATTTTTATACTACCGTTATCAGAGAGGCGAGCGGGCGAATTGCTGGGAACCTTATAACAGGATGATTCTTTTTCTCCTCACTAAATCGCTGTTTAAAGGACAAACGTGAATCTGTGCATTATTTGTGAAATCACGTTTGGTACTACAGAGGTTACGTTCCGTGGAATGAGAGGATACTTAGATTTGAATCAGACCTTCACGGTCAGATCCGAACCCCTGGTACATCAAAGCACTTTTAACGGTGTTATGTAACTTTTTGAAGCCGAGTCAAGTTTAAATAATATTCACAAATTCAGTTAGTGCCTCAAAGAAAACACATCGCGTCTCCATTATAAAGATCAATTCGATAAGCTTCTTTAGGGGAAAATCGATGTTTATTTTTAAAATCATGCAAAATGTTGTATTCACTGTTAGCAAAGTACAGATAAATAGAATGTTGAAGTAGTGCATTAAAGGTTTAAAAGGGAACTCGTGTAGCGTGCTTTGCCGGAATGTTATGAGTAAAACTATGGAAATCCATTAAGTAAATACACGGTACCCAGCCGTATGACACTACAAAGCATGTTACCCAGATTCATATGACCTTGCAGGTAAACGGTGCCTCATTCCTAAAAAAAGTTGTTCGTCAACAGCATTACGGTTTTCTGGATACCATTTCTGTATGTCTTAATGAAGTGGACGAATGACGATGTAGCCTCTGCTTTGTAAAGCACATGAACGTACTGAAATCCATTTGATATGTAGGATATATATATATATTTATATAGTAACATTAGTATTTATATTTATTAATTAATTCATTCATTTATTCGGGCTAGAAGTATTCTGTAATGATATAGTATGTGAGGCGTTTTGTATTCAGATTTCCGTTTAATGGCGATAAGTGATGTTTCGCTGGCAGAGTTCGGACATATTTAAAAAATGGACGTACATGTAAGAGTTGTATGAAACATCTTTTACAGCTACAGATGTGACCACTGGCGGGGAATTGAGGTTATGTCGGGCAAAAAGAGTAGCAAAAACTTATAATCTGTTTTAGTAGATTACAGTATTCTGAAAGCTACTCTAATAATACGAGGTGCTACCCAAAAGTTCAGGGAATTTTCCCATAAACAAAATTGCTTATCGTAACTCCTAGTTTCCATCGTCTCCTTCGAAGTAGTCCCCTTGGGCATGGATACAGCGATCCCAGCGTTTTTCCATGATTCCATGCATCCCTGGAAATCTTCAAGTGTGAGTGTTTTAAGCACCTCCTGCGATTCTGCCTGGATCTCCTCAAATGTGTCAAAACGACGGCCTTTCAATCGAAATTTCATTTTGGGAACAGGTAAACGTCCCAGGGGGGCGAGGTCAGGCGAACAGGGTGGGTGGGGAATCACTGTCGTGTTTTTGGAAGCCAAAAACTGCCGAACAACGAGCGATGTGTGGGCGGGCGCGTTGTCGCGGTGGAGAACCCAGCTGTTGTTGTCCCACTTCTCCGGACGTTTGCGCCTAATGCTCTCCCGTAGCCGCTTCAAAACTTCCGGTTGAGAGTTTGACCAGGGGGGACAAATTCCTTGTGGACAATGCCTTAGATGTCAAAAAAAAAAAAATCGACGTGAACTTCACATTCGACAGACGTTCGTCCATCCTTAAAGCGTTTGTACCACAAAAAAGTTTTACTTTGACTCATTGCATTCTCACCAAATGCTTCCACAAGCATGCGGTGGGTTTCTACAGCAGTTTTTTAAGCTTAAAGCAAAATTTGATGCAGACTCTTTGCTCCTTAAAATCTGCCATTTATGCAGGTTTAAAAAATCGCCGAACCACTACAACACAACGTTACAAAAACGCACGAGACTCGAGAACGCGGCATCTCGCCTTCACGGCTGTTGGCACACTAATTCACAAAGGGTACTGCTCGCCCCATCTAGCGGCGGCAGGCCATTCCACAACCGGTTCGCCCGTGGAATTCAAATTCCCCGAACTTTTGGGTAGCACCTCGTATTTAAAAATCAAGATAGATATTACTCCAAATCCTGTTGCTGAACTATGAAATGAGGTGGCATACTTTCGGCATTCAGATTCATTTTTTAAGTATTAAGTTGAAATTAGAGAAAACGGGGTTAGACAGGCATGGAGCACTGTCGGCGTTTCTAATACCTATCTAGTGGGTAATTTGAGCATGGGACTGTGAAGTTTCCTAGCTTTGTAGGGTCTGGAATTATATTACAGCTTGATTTTACTTTTCATTCTAAAAGAACATTACGTTTTGAGATCGAAGGACTGACTAACTCTTTAGCCCAAGATCTCTTCCTCTAAAGCTGATAGTCGCCCAGCGGGGTGAGAAATCCCCTGCTTTGAAGAAACCAGAATGTTTATTATCGTGTTCACGAAGGCCCGCTGTTTGATTCTATCCTGAGGCAGCTAAATCCAGTCCCCATCTTTATCTAGATGGTCTCTTCTCATAAGGCTTGCCGTCCAAAATGCTGAATGAATTTCTCACCTGCGCCTTGCAGGTATACTCAGGGTTTAGTAGTTTCATATTATAAAAAAAGTGGTAAATCTGGTAGTATAATGAAGTGGGACTGCATCTTACCGCAGTATGGGAGATCTCCTTGCCAAGTTCCTGAGGACGAACACACCAAAGTCGGAGTTCTGAAACGGAGAAATAAGACAGTAAAATATACAACCACATAAAGAATGTTTCTTAATCTAACAATTTAAATAATGTGTAGTATTAGTGCGCCTTTTCAGATTTTGACGCTCAATGTTGGGGTAATTGTGGCATGTTAAATATTTTTATGCGGTTTCCAAACGTGAATAAAGTGAGTACACAATGCGGAGATCGTGGCTGTCTATCCCCAGCTTTCATTTTGGAAACAACAGTTGAGATTTTGATTAAATTCGATATTGAGCTTCCCCACTAAAATTAGTTAAGCATTAAAGTCTGCAACGGTCATATGTAACCTATCTAGATATGGAGACTTTGAACAAAAACAGGGACAGACAGACATACAACAAATCACCTTTACGTTACTGAGATTACATGCTAATATGAAGAAAAATAAATATTATTTATCACGATATAACCTTATAATCGCACACACACACACAATGGCAAAGATTGTAGTTTGAGAGAGATTCTTATACACCAAACTTCATTGCACTACCCCGCTGTAGTCTGCTATGTATCTAAATATTAAGGGTTGGACTACCATAAATCTAGATAATACATTATCTTACTATAACTGGGAGGTGAAAGTAAAGCCTTTATTTTGTTGCAACACTGAGTCACTTCACGTCATGAACTGTGATAAATCAGTCACGTTTATAACAAAACCGCAGAGCGCGTGCAATGAAATCGAGGTTACGTTTAGCATTTGCAGACTTCGGCCTTTATTTAAAATTACATCAGCTTCATATTTGGGAGTCTACGGCTCGAATCTCCGCCCGAAGACCGTTTATCCTGACTGAGGGTATCGTGCTTTTGTTTTGTCTTTCCAGATAATTCCTGCGATAGTAACTCAAATTCGGCGTCCATTGCTTCCTTCCACATCTTTTCTAATTTATTATCCACTAACCATACTCTCACTTGACGCTTTATAGGCTGAGCTACTGACAGCGTCGTAAGATAAACTGCAAATAACTACAAATCCAATGCAGATTCACTAAATCGACAGTTATCTGTTCCAGAACAGCTGTTGTTGACATGTTTATTTTACTGTCAACAATAACAACAATAGTACTTACTCCATGGAGCCGATTCCTTACTGAGAAGCTAACAGTCACTCAGCCACTCAAGAAATTCGTAATATTTTATGGAACCTGAAGGTTCATTACCGTGCTTACAAGAGCCTGCCACTAGTCCCTATCCTGTGCCAGATGAATCCAGTCCATACCACCCCATCCTATTTAAGATCTATTTTAATATTATTCCCACCTACGTTTAGGTCTTCCTAGTGGTCTCTTTCCTTCTAGTTTGTCCACCAAAATCCTGTATGCATTTCTCTTCTCTCTCATGCGGGTTACGTGCCCTTCCCTTCTCATCCTCCTTGATTTGATTTGTCTAATTGTAATTGGCGAGAAGTATAAACAATAACATCAGTAATAATAAGAAATTAATAAGAAATGGAGATTAAGTAGATTACTGTAAAAATGAAAATAGGGTCCTACGAAGGGACTCGAATTTCGTTGTGTTTAGTTCAGATAGGCCTGTCCTTGTATTTGACATTTTTTCAAACAATCGCTGTCCTTTCACATGTCCAGTGAATCCTGACTCGTAAAGTACAGTGAATGAATGGTTACATAGTTTATGAGATTATTTATTTTAATTTTTATGAGTTTTATTGCAAGATTGGAATGTAATGCGTACTCTTTTGACTGAAACTGGCACATTCTAATTATAATTGTTGGTTGGAAGGTAAGGTTTCAACATTGCCCATTGTTGTGTGTTTGGCAGATGAACGAAGTATTTTAAATGCCACCACAAATGTTAAAACGTCACGATTGTTTCTCCATGCAACCGAATAATATTGCCAATGTAGCGTGATGCACCTATTTCAAGCTCCTAAGTTTCGTTACGACACATTGTCTTATTTCTAAAGAGCGAAGTGGAAATCAGGCTAAAATGGAGGAACCTGTTCATTCTGACATAGAAGTCTTGTTTCCTCATTATATCACCAAGCTTCACGACAGTCTACTTTCTTTGTGTATAAGGAAATTAGGATCTTTGTTGTTTTGTGTTTGCCTCTAGTAACTTTTGTACCAAATAAGTGAAGGAAGCATTTTACTTTTTGATCATGCTATTCAGCGTTCAAATATTTGATTTTTTCATGAACAAAACAAACATGACATCCGTGCTAACTTCTGAAGTGGGATCAACATTAGATTTATTTGATTTCCGTCCTGATGATGGAGGCAGCAAAGACCTCTGAAACGTCGGTAAACTTCTACCAGACTACACGGCGCAACAACTCAGAAGCTAGCCATCTTCAAGCTCACTGTATATCTGAAAAGGATGAATGTTGACGCTAGTCTTGCCGAATATCCTACAAAATCTTATAATCTACATTTATCTTTTTACATCAGAAACTGTGGCGCAATAGGAATACATCAACCTCAGCCGAAGTTCTCTCTGAAAAAGAGCACAACCCATTCCTTCCAGATCCCTCCCAGCCCATAAAAATCTCATTCGCCAAATGGCACTATGTATTTTGTCCCAACCAGAACAATGTATATTCTGACAGGCTTTTCACGGTTTTACCACTTCTCTCAGAACATTTTGGGAAATTACCTTAAAATAGGCAAAGACCGCTTCGTTGCACATACTGAAAAAAAAAAACATTCACAATCATCCTGGCATTTTATTTTACATAAAATGAACAAATGTTTCCCTAAGCCATCTAGTTAGTTAGTTACATGGAAATGAGGAGACACAGGTTCTTATCAGGACTTCTTGTTGCGCGTTCTGTTGTGATGCGAAAGAAGATATTTTTCATGAAGCTTTATTCTCTGTTTCTGTCTGATATATTGTGTTAAGGAGGTTTAAACTTTTATTCCGGGCGGTTGGCAACACCAGCTTACCCAAAGAGCTCGTAGCCCTCATCGCATGTGTGGGTGGCTGCAGTGCCCGGTGTCAGGTCTGGATTCGACAGGGACACACGGGCGTTTACAGGCACCGCTGGATGTCCACATTTCACAACTGAAACAAATAAATGTGTTAATTTAGTTACTTATTTTTGTAGTTAATTCAACGATGCTGTCAGTAATTCAGATTATATAGTCTAATGAACGAACCAATAGAACGTCACAATGCGTGTCCAAATTTTGATTTCGTCAGAGAATTTCTTGTATTTTCATCTTCGAAAGAAACGCTACTCGTGAAAGCGCATATTAAATTTGATAAATACGTTTAAAGTTTTCGTTTTGTACACTAAGATTACGTCATATATATTGCATATCCGAGATGTAAATCTGAGATGTGGAGTATTGATTATTAAAAAATCCTGTTTTATATTTTAATTTAATTTTATATTTATTGTTTCGGTTATCAACGTAGTTGTTTGCCATCATCGTGTTTAACACTCTGTGTACTTGTAAATCGAAAATTTTTTTGCACTCCAGATACTTCGTTTATCCGGTTTCGTTCTTAGAATTAATCTTCTGATCACACGTCGTACTTTAACTGGGGAAGGTGAGTCAACAGTAGAAATTGCACTGTTTTAATAAAAGAATAAACTGAGGTATTAAATTCATGGTCCAGTGGTTGGAGGTGATCTACTTAGATCCACACAGCAGCAGTTCATATGATCCAGTGGGTAATTTCGTTTCGTAGGCAATTTCCCTGTCAGATTTTAAAGCACCCAGCGTAATTTTCCGTATCAGGGGCTGCTGTAATACTGATGTCTTGTGTTGTTTTTCTAGTGAGTTTATACGGCTGAAGTAAACTCGTTTACACGCTAAAGTTTCTGACCTACTTGGAATCTAGTCCCCACGCGGCACATTCACCCACTGTCCGTTTGCTCAACTAGCAATTTTGTTTGTAAGGCTCAGAAGAGCGCAATAAAGAGTCAACGGATTAAACTTGCTGCTTTATAAAGAGCGTTCCATTTAAAACTCAGCCGTACATACTGGATATGGACCCCCTACACCCACAAAACAACGAACGTAGTATTTATTTATTGTTGCATTATACCTTTGATGGAGCAAGCAATGACCTCTGAAACGTCGTAACAACCAAGAAGACAGCCATCTTCGATTTTACGCAGCAGTACACGATACTTCTTCGAAACGTCCTCATGTACTTGGTTGGTCTTTAATGTTAAAGCACGTTGCCATGCAAAGGTTTCGTAATATAAGTTTGCGAGGATTTCGAAAAAGAGGGAGGGAATCGTGTTTCGGCTGAAACTCTTTCTTCGATACTTATTTTTTGCTAATGTTGAGATTAATGTGTTCTATTGGGATTACACTGAATTGTGCGCTAAGGATTAACCAAAATAATGTTATAAGTGCCAATGTTGTCAGTTATTAGAGGGAAGTAACCCCGCTATGTTTTCTATAGTGCATTTTGATATAAAGCAGGCAAGCATAACAGAAATAATGAGTTTGTTACTCGTCAAGTTTAATTGCCTGAAAAGTAACTATAATGAATTTTCGTGTGACAGGCAGAGTACGAAAGTAAGAACCAATACAAAGTCAGTGGTGGGAAATTTAGGATGAGTTACATAGGTGTTGGTTCGTAAGTTATTATGCTAATATCATGGTTTCACCTTTATTAAGCATATTATTTCAGTATATATTTACAGTGTTAAAATAGTGATTCATCAACTCCACAAAATTATAATTGTAAATGATGTGACCAAATTACTTAAGACGTTCAACAACATCGAATGCTGCATGATGTATATTTTATAATAGAATTGTTTTGCAAGTCAGTATCAGCAGCAGCTGTACTTTGTGGTATTTTATATAATCTAAATAAGAATTCTGGCCGGGGATCCTCAATGGAATAAATCACAGAAATGGAGAATAAAGATTGTATTGAACTGGTTAAGGACAGCCTATATGAATTTGGTTTCCATAAAAGCACGGTATTTCTTGACAGGCTGAGTAACTTATCTTTATAAAAAAATCCTTGCGCTATGGATGTAATTTGAATCGTAATATACACCGTTACTTGTTTCTGCCTGCTGTGAGAAGCCTTTTCAACAAAAAAGAAAGTCCTGTTGTCATTTAATACTGAATTGTCATTGTTTCTTTTCTGTTGGAACATCCTGAAACGCTTCAAATACTGTACAGTCTCAGCAATAATTTATACTTGTCCATGATATGCGCATTGTCTTTTTAATACTGAGCAAAACGAATTTGTATCAACGAAAAATACTTCTACAGATCTGACAGAAGCAGCGATTTACGGGGCAATTTGTTAGGTAAGTACTTAAAATTGTTGTTAACAGGTGCCGCTTTATCCGTTGTAAAATGAGGGTAGCTGCCCAGGGTCCCCTCGTAAATCAGAATTACGATAAACGAAATTTAATACAAACAAAGCTGTTGGTTTCTTAACGAATTGCAGAGTAGAATAAGGCAAGCTTAGTTATTTACTGAACACTGAAGAAAAAGGAAGTACTGTTCATGATCTAATTAACTCCACGGAGCAGTTCTTGGAAAGCGGACAATCACTGAGCTATTAAAAAATTACCCACCTCTACCGGACCCCGAAGGTTCACCAGAATCCACCATTGGTTCCTGTCCTCAGCCAGACGAATCCAGTTCACATTCTTCCACCTTAATACCTTC